TTGTGCTGGCAGCCTAGTAGGAAATGAAACCACATCTTCAACTTTTGACTTAACCATATAATTTCCTTGAAATTTCTTTAACATAGCTAGGGCGTTTTGTGTTTGCAATTAACTGGATTTTGGACATGTGTTGCCTCAAATATTATATGAAACTAGTGTTTTATTTCTGCCGTGCAAGATATTAATTGCGTAACAAATCCTTAATCCTCTCATGTCAGATAGTGGTGCTTCTTCATGGCTTGATCTGTCTCTATTTAATATATCTTAATTAACAAAATTCTAGGCTTAATCATGTGTTCTTATTTATCCATCGTAGAACCATTAATATAACACAAAAAAACAAGAACCTGCTTCTAATATGTATGCCTATCAGTACTTGCTGTACAGATGTCTTGTATTCAGCTAATAAAATTCTCTGCAGTGCTTTTTTGACACCCCAGGGCTCATGTTAGGGCACCATGGATTTCCTTATAGGGATGTCACAGTTCGTGTGGAGAGTGCCTGGAGCTCAATTAACCTCTATGATTTACTAATAGTCATGTTCGATGTCAATAGGCATCTTACTCTGTAAGTCTTCATCACATTTTGTTTAATTTTTTTCATTTTATTAGAGCTCATGGCAAGTGCACTGCACTTCTAAACTATGTTTTCATTTATGCAGGCCTGATTCACGTGTTATAAAGTTAATCAAACGTTTGGGTACGGAGGTGAACCCAAACCAGAGGCGTATATTGTGCATGAATAAGGTTGACCTGGTGAAAGACAAGAAGGAGCTCCTTAAAGTTGCAAAAGAATTTGAAGATCTTCCTGGATATGAAAGGTTTCATTAGTCTTCTGTAGGTTTACTTTGTTCTTTCTACAATTCCACTTGCCTTATTGAAATTCTGGTAATGCTAGGTACTTCATGGTATCTGGGCTAAAAGGCAAGGGAGTGAAAGACCTTGTACAGTACTTGATGGACCAGGTATTTTCTTCTATACCTATTGTTCGTCTGCCAGTTTGCCTTACCTTTCTGAATCTTGAAGGGTAGAACTTGATGAGTTATATGCTAAGTTCTTTTGCTTAGATAATACCCCTCTGTTATTGTTATAAGGTGAAGTTTGATTGGTTATGATGTCCAAAACTGAATTTTGACTGTTAATTCTTTATGATGTATTTTTAGAACTGCAATGCCATTGTCGTATGGAATTGTTCAAATACTAATACATAATAATACAATATAAACGAACTACAATTCTGCCATGCTGTGAGATTCTTCTTCTTTGTATAGGTTGTGTAGTATTTGCAATAAGGATCTGAACTGGCCAGTCTGTAGTATCATTTTACTGATGTTTTGATGTGCACTACATAACTATGGTGTAGTTGATTATTCTATGTGATGCTAATGAGCTATGTTCTCTCTGTTTGGAAGTTAAAAAATAGACCTGTTTCAATGTTCTCTAGTTGATTTACTTAGTGGTCACCTTTTTTATGTAGCCTCTTATGTACATTTAGATTACTCGGTTTGAAGTTTAAAAAGTGTGTTGCATGCATTCATCCTAAAATAATATTCTTGACTCAGTAAGTAATTTACTTTTATTTCCCCTTGAAAATTAGAACTGAATCTTTAAAAATTCTGTGTTTGTTTACTAATTATTTAGCACTATCAGTCCTTATGTAACTTCAATAAATACTCTAGTTATGCCTTTGCTTTTAGGCAGTAAGAAGACCTTGGGATGAAGAACCAACTGTAATGACTGAAGAGGTAATGAAAACCATATCATTGGAGGTTGTGCGGGAGAAGATGCTGCATCACATCCACCAAGTAATTCCTTTGCATTTTGAATATGCAAATTGGTTCTCTTTAATTCAAATAGAATATGTTTATCAATGAATGACCTTTTACAGGAATTCTACAATGAAATTTGAATTCAAATGAAATTTATTTGCTCATGTCTGACCTTTTACAGGAGATCCCCTATGTAATTGAGCATCGTCTGATGGGTTGGAAGGAGCTAAAAGATGGTTCTCTTAGGGTAGAGCAGCACTTCATTGCACCAAAGCAAAGCCAACGTCAGATTCTTGTTGGTAAAAATGGCTCTAAGATAGGGTGAGGCATTCTCTTATGGAAAAAGTTGCTACTATGTTGGAATGGCAATTGTGTATTTTGCCAATTAACATCTACATTATTAGAACTATTCCTGATGTATTAATATATCTGATGGGACAAATCTGTCAGGAGAATTGGTATTGAAGCCAATGAAGAACTGAGGTCCATATTCAAGAGAGATGTCCATCTAATTCTCCAAGTTAGAGTTGCGAAAAAGAGAAATGCTTGAACAGATTGTGAGTATGTTTCACATTTCATTCATCACTCTGTTACAGTACTCTATCTTGCCGGCATGTTACCATCTTCGCTAGAAATGCTTGAAAATCCCTAAACAACCACTCCAAGTTCGCATCATTATTTTTTTGTTCAATCTGCTGATCTGATCCCCCGTTGAGCCACAGTTGATTTCTCTGAAGGAATAATATATTGTTTTCTGCAGTTTTAGTGCCTGTATAGACTGCAAGTGATCTGAGAACTGCAGTGCAGTGTTGGCACAATGTATTCAGGAGACATGGTTAGCAGCAAGTGGTGCTTGGGTGCATCAGTTCCAGTGACTGCTTGGATAGAACTTTGGATCTAGGATCTACTGGAGGCACTGAGCTATACCCAAGCGTGTGGAGCCTTGATTTCTAAAGAAAAGATATATCGGCAACAATTCACATGCCAGTGGTGACAAGGAAATGGCTTGCCGAATGGCGAGCTGCTGCACCACATGGTGAATCTTGGGTTTGTTATATACAGATACGTCTGTGCTAGACCACTGACACCGTTTTACCTACTTTCTGATTCGAAAAGTAGTCCCTCTCTTCCTCGGGTCTCGGCCTGTATTTTCTATAGGCTATTTAAACAGTGTTGTAATAATATGATGATCGGGCATGTCATGTCCGACGTTGAGCTGCTGGTTTTCTGCAGTGTTCTGAACTGAACAGTAGAATTTTCAGGATGAAATCCGGTGGTGCTCTACCTTGTAAACTGCACGATCGTTGTGTTAAGGAAAATTTATCACTTGCCGCCCTTTTCATTGGGTTTGATTGATGATTTATTCTAGTCACATTGAAACAGTGAAGATCTTACATCGCAATTCTACTACTGAAAGCTACATGCAATAGCCGTGAGCCCGTGACCGTGACCAATTGCAGCATCGTAGCCCCCAATGGCATCTGCAGGCGGCTACGGAAGGACCGAAGAGCTGTTGAAACAGACTCAACTGCCGAAGGCCCTGGCCCTGCTTGTACCCTGCCGCTTTCTTTTCTTTTCTTTTTTCTTTGAGAAAGCAGCTTTGTTCTTGTAATCGCTCGAAATGGAAAGCTCCAAGTTTTTGTCTTATTTTCAAGATTATTACTTCATGCAAAGTTCTGCCTTTCTCGGGTATATCTGTAGGTCTAGCCGAGGCAAGCTGAAAAACTTGAGCATCGACGAGTTTTTCATAGTTACTATCATGAAAAAAGCTCGAGAACTCGATGACATAGGCAAGGAAGTTGATAAATATGGATCTCGGCGAATTCTGATGGCGTTTGATAGGGTGCTACCCAGGGCGTGCACGTGGTGTAATGCTGGTGGGTCTCTTTCGGCGATACGGAGCAATATTTTTGTTGTTGTTGTGTGACCTATGAACACATGAATGAAAAAATAAAGAGGAGACATGACCATTCAAGGTCATCAGCATCACTAACCGTCCCCAAATACCATAGTTGGCAAACTTTTTTGACTGAATCTAAGAATATCCAACAGTCCCCAGTACCATATTTTGCAGACTTTTTGACTGAGAATTATCCAAGAGTATCCAAATACCATTTCACAAACTTTTTGACTGAGAATTATCCAACAGTCCACAAATACCATATTTGGCAATGTTTTTGAGAATTATCCAACAGTCCACAAATACCTTATTTCACAAATTTTGTGACTGAATTATCCAAGAATCCACAAATACCATATTTCACAAACTTTTTGACTGAGAATTATCCAACAGTGCACAAATACCATATTTTGCAAACTTTTTGCCTGAGTTACTCGGTAAAAAGAACTCAACATGCCGAGACCCAAACGGGGATAGAAAAAACTTGGAGCACTACTAAACCAAGGTATAGGGCTAAGCGACCCATTGTTTCCGCCAACTTCCAACAACACAGCATTTTCCCTTTTATTCATTCATAAAGATATAAGAGTTCTTGTCAAAGTTAATGAACATAAATAGATTCAAAACTTCTGGTTTTTACACTCACAAGTCACTCCACCTTTTTTTTTGGGGTAACACATGGTTGGACACTACTTTCTTGAAGAGCAGGGTACATACAAATCACAGAACATGACTTGCATCTCGCAATGTCACATCCTGTATCTCTCGAACAAAACTCCTTCCTGCCTAAGGTTTTCTGCCCACTCTAACAGCAAAAAAACCTCATCAAGAAAATTCTATGCGGAAAAAAAAAAAAACTAACAGAGAATCGCTGCCACAGAACCATTACCACCGCGTATCAACATGCGACTCCATTCGTTGGTCCTGTCCCAAAATCATTCTTTCGGACCAAGCTAGGTTCAACTTCATCGCAAAGTCCGCCACTTCTCTGTATGTCAAGAACAATCGCTTGTTATATCAAAACAGGGCACTGTTTCATGCATCTCAACAGTAAATGGTTTAATAGCATCCTAAACACAGCCTGGATCAAGCGACGGCCACAAGCAGCAACCGCAAGTTCAAGCAGAAGTTAACTCAAATAACGAGTGGAAGCATTTAACAGAGTTCATCAATTTTCAATCCAGAAATCAACTTATACTTATTAAAATGCCAGCATATAAATATTAACAATTTTGGTGTACCACGTACAAAAACAGGCTTTTTCAATTGAGAAACAGGCTAGTAGCACAACAAAGAGCCTACATGCATCCACCGATAAGATATCTCATGCCCTCACCTATCAATCTCTTCCCTCATTGCAGGATCAAGTCCATCATCAAGGTCATCATTGTCGAAGGGGTACTCGATATCATCTTGCAAATTTGGAGTTTGGCAAGGATGCCTAGAAATGTTACCACTATCTGCTTTGCACGGAACCACACAGGAAGCCCCCTCCTGAAGTCCCAGAAAAAATATATAAGAAATACAGCATTCTCTATAAAGTTATCCCCAGAAAGGAAAAAAATAATTTAAGTTGAACTCTCACCTTATTTACAGGTTCGGAGTTCGCTTTTGCGGGATTCTTAGCTTGATCTTTCCTTCTTTTATTCTTTTTCTTATTCTTAGAAGCTTTCCCACCTCTGGAATCTGTGAAATGGTTACATGAAGCTCAATAGTTTTTTTAATAAAAAAATACAATGAACTCATGCAATTATTGTTGTGTCACATGCTTTTGCAGCCTTTTTTGGGAGAGGGAATTGGGGTTTGTGTGTGTGTTGTGTTGGGGGGTGTTAATTTCATAAGGACACGCCAGAAGGGGCAGGTAGCAACTTAACAAAAATAATCAATAACGTGCTCCTACCATGAACTCCGCCTATGGTGGGGCGCCTTTGGTGTCCCAGCATAACAGGTCCCAAGCCCTGGTAAAGGAGGAGGGTTGTGTTAGGCGTGACGAGCCAATGTAAAAACTTAGCCACTTTAATGGAGATGAAACCCAAAAGAATCCCGTTGGGACGTAACCCTCTTAGCGACGCGCCATATCGGAACCCGGGTATGGTGTTAAATGAGCAAGGGCCGGGTCGTCACCCCCGTGACGCGTCGTGTCGCGATCTGGACACGGTGTCAAGTGAGCAAGGATCGGGTCGTCGCATCCTTAGTGGCGCGCCACATCGGCGCCCGGGTGTGGTGCAAAATGAGCAAGGGTCTTCACACCTACCTCGGCGGGTGTGAATGGTAAGGAAGCTAGTCGAGCCAACTAGGATCCGTTTAGGTAGCTGGAATGTATGGTTCCTTACAGGTAAGTTAAGAGAGTTAGTGGACACAGCGGTTAGGAGTCGTGTAAATATCTTATGCGTCCAAGAGACTAAATGAAAGGGGCAGAAGGCGAAGGAGGTGGACAATACCGGCTTCAAGCTCTGGTACACAGGGACAACTTCAAATAAAAATGGAGGAGTTTTGATTGATAAGAGCCTTAAGAATGGTGTGGTGGAGGTGAGAAGGCAAGGAGATAGGATCATCTTAGTTAAACTTGTCATTAGTAATATGGTCTTAAACGTAATTAGTGCGTATGCCCCCCAAGTAGGCCATGATGAGAGTGCTAAACGGCTTTTCTGGGAAGACTTAGATCGCTTGGTTAGAGTTGTCCCTAGTAGCGAGAGGCTCTTTATAGGAGGTGATCTTAATGGCCATGTAGGTACATCAAGTGCAGGTTTCGAGGCGGTTCATGGGGGTTTCGGATATGGTAACAGGAACCAGGAGGGAGAGGAAGTCTCAGACTTCGCCATAGCTTTTGATCTGATGATAGCTAACACTTTATTCCGTAAGAGACAGTCCCATTTAGTGACCTTTAAGAGCGGCCAGTACTCTAGTCAAATCGACTTTGTCTTTACAAGGAGGGATAAACCAACATGCGTGGACTGTAAGGTGATACCTGGAGAATGTGTGGTCACTCAACACAAGATTGTGGTGGCTGACTTCCGCTTTCTGGTGCAAGCTCGTGGGAACAAACAAGCTAGGGTTGCTAGAACGAAGTGGTGGAAATTAGAAGGGAAAGCATCAAAGGTCTTTAAGGAAAAGGTCATTGAAGAGGGCTCTTGGAATGATGAAGGCGATGCAAACAGCATGTGGGAGAATTCAAGAATCGGAGGTCAGATAAGCCTTGAAAAGGATGAAAGGGGGCAAAGCGATGGGCCCTGATGGTATCCCAATCAAGGTGTGGAGATGTTTCGGGGATATAACTATAGTATGGCTAACCAAGATGTTCAACAATATCTTTCGATCGAACAAGATGTCTGAGGAGTGGAGAAGAAGCATATTAATACCAATCTACAAGAACAAGATATCCAAAGTTGTACTAATTATCGGGAAATTAAGTTGATGAGCCACACTATGAAGTTATTGGAGAGTCATCGAGCAGCGCCTGCGAGGAACGACACAGATATCAACAAACCAATTTGGTTTCATGCCCGGAAGGTCAACCACAGAAGCAATCTTCTTAATAAGACAGGTTATGGAGCGGTTTAGAGAGCAGAAGAATGACCTCCATTTGGTTTTCATTGACTTGAAGAAGGCTTATGACAAGATACCAAGAAATGTTATGTGGTGGTCTTTGGACAAACATAAAGTCCCATCAAAGTACGTGACCCTCATCAAGGACATGTACAACAATGTTGTGACTAGTGTTCGAACAAACGATGGTAACACAGATTACTTCCCGATTAAAATTGGACTTCATCAAGGGTCAGCCTTAAGCCCGTATCTCTTTACCTTGGTAATGGATGAGGTTACCAGGAACATCCAAGGGAATATCCCTTGGTGTATGTTGTTCGCTGATGATGTAGTTTTAGTGGACGAAAGCCAAGCGAGAGTAAATATGAAACTAGAGTTATGACGACAGACCCTTGAGTCTAAAGATTTTAGATTGAGCATAACTAAAACCGAATACATGAGATGCGACTTTGGCGAAGTTGTACAGGAGGAGGGAGATGTGAGTTTGGAAGGTCAAGTAGTGGCTAAGAAGGATACCTTTCGGTATCTGGGATCGATGCTACATAGGGATGGAGATATTGATGCGGACGTTAGCCATAGAATCAAAGCAGGGTGAATCAAGTGGCGACAAGCTTCTGACATTTTCTGTGACAAGAGGGTACCACAAAAGCTAAAAGGCAAGTTCTATAGAACGGCGATTAGACCGGCTATGTTGTATGGAGCAGAATGTTGGCCTACAAAGATTCGACATGTTTAACAACTGAGTGTTGCAGAAATGCGTATGTTGCGATGGATTTGCGGTCACGCAAGAAAGGACCGAGTTCGGAACGATGATATACGTGATCGCCTAGAGGTAGCACCAATTGAAGAAAAGCTTTTCCAACATCGGTTGAGGTGGTTTGGCCATGTCCAAAGGAGACCTCCAGAGGCACCAGTGCATTGTGGAGTCCTAAGCTAAGCTAATAATATGAGTAGAGGTAGAGGAAGACCGAAATTGACATGGGGGAGGCAATAAAAAGAGATTTGAAAGCTGAGGATATACCTAGAGATCTATGTTTGAATAGGAGTACTTGGAAAGCAGCTATTGAAGTGCGTGAACCGTGACTTGAGACTCTTGGTGGGTTTCAACTCTAGCCTACCCCAACTTGCTTGGGATTGAAAGGCTATGTTGTTGTTGTTGTGGTGGTGCTCCTACCATGCCTAGTTGATTTTTCCTTCAATCTAAGCGACCAGTCTACCAATAAAAAAGGTATTAACTTTGATGGGAAAAATACCACCATGATCACTGATTCTACAAAAGCTCATGACACATGAATAGTCCACTGTAATAGTGTTAGTGATGAGCGGCTGCTAAAACTACTAATCAACTTCATCCATAGTAGCTAAATAGGTTTGGATCAGGGCAACAACTTTTTGTTGTATTATGACTGTTCAATATTAATCAACTGGTCTAATGGGAGAACAACATAACTTATAAAAAGTGTGCAATTTTGCCATTTGGAACTCAAACTTAGTTTCTTTATGAAAAACACCAAAAAAACTGATATTTTCTAGACACTACATTAATATTTATATTTTGATGTAGGACATTATTTTGCGCAGTGGGCATGACACCAAATGGTGTAGGGCAAACACCACACACTTCGATTGTTCTGTGTCATGATTTTTAAATATTCGATAAAATCACTAACCTCCATCTCCATTTATAAAACAAAGTAACTCATCCACAGATCTCTCATCTTTTTGCTCTTCTTGTGTTTGAACATCCTGAAATAAGGTGAACCTCAGAAACAAACATAAAACTAGAACAAAGAGCCTGATGAAGTACAGATATATCATTGAACACAACACATAGTAAATCAATAAAAATACCTTTAGTTTCTGGCGTTCCTGCAGTTCTTTCCGCTTCTTTGCATACAATCGGTTCAATAAACGAATCGTAGGATCATCATTTATATTTTTTAGTGGCTCTAGTTTCTCTTCCTGACAGATAAGTATTAAATGTGTCAACATCTAAAAGGAAATGGTTCACTTTATCAAGCTGAGATCGTGTTGATGAAATCTGTTTTTTTTTAGCTCCAGATGGGGGAATTGTACTCAGGGAGATCAAGAGAACTTTTTCCTATACACGACTATAAGCAGTACCCTTACCTCTGTTAAGTCATCTGGTAAATGGAAAATATCTCTAACTTCATCGGGTGTCTTTCCTCCGATGATTCGAGCAAGCGCTCCACAAGTAAGATCAACTAGCGGCCTTAACTGCAGACCAAGGGCTGCAGAAGCCAACTTGCAGAGTTTTTCTGTGTCTATCCGGACAAACTTTTCATCAAATGACTTCCGCTCCTGCAAATGTAGGAAATCCGTGCTATGATATGCTGGAGCAAATATAGATTCAACAAACAAAATTTTCAAGATGAATATAAAGTGCAGCAAACCTTGTTTGAGCGCCCAGGGACCTGATGAAACCGACAATAATCAAGAATCAAACTCAAACTTGCCGGATTAACTCTTTCCGGTAGAACTATAGCATGATTCTTAGATGACCCTGTCCCATTTTTCATTATCTCCCGACATATCATAGGGCAGAACATCGCAACTTCTTCCTCCACTTGTTGTATGGAGCCATCAAAGCACTGAAGCCAGATATAAGTTTTCAATGCCTGTCAGAGTTCACCAATAAACTTGATTTAGGCCCAAATGATGCAATCAAGATAAGAACGCAAACATTTCCTCTCTAATTAACAGGAACTGCAAAGGGAGATGTACCTCTGGTTTTATTACTGCTAACTCGCTCTCTGACATGATTGCCTAACACCAGGAAAATAATGATGATAACAGAACCAGATACGGGGGAAATTTACAAAGAATTCCTTTCAGGCATACAACCACCACTGGGCTCTCCAATGTCGAACAGCAGCTGAGCAAACTTTATGACAAATACGTGCACTCCTTGTTTCGCCTTCAGATTGGAGAATGACTTTATTTGCTTTCAAAGTACAATGAGGTGCAAAATTCCACTGGAACATACGGTTCACCGTATTTGGTAACCTAAAATAGAGAAAGAACAAGGCAAAGATGCACAAGTTAAAGGATTTTGCCAACTACATAACATGGGACCAAAAATGTAAGAAAAATAGGGCAGATACAATCAGGGGCGGACCCAGTGAAGGAAATGGGTGTACACCCGATATTTTTTCGCAAAGCAATCGAAGTTAGTAGGCATAATACATGGATATACACTTGTAATTAGATTCAGATCCGAATACGAATAGGATGTTAGGGTTTGGGCGCAAGGTTTCGCACAGCAGGAAGGGAAGACAGAGGGGAGGGCGTATGGTGGTGCTCGTCGCCGGCGAAGCGGACGAAGTAGGGCGGCAGCGACGGCCGGCCCAGTCGTCGGTGGGTGGGGGGTTGCGCGCACGCTGGGCCGCTGGGGGAGATGGAAGAAGACAGGGCAGGGTTGCAGCATACAGCTACAGACAGATCGGGTGAGTAATCCGTGTAGAGGTACCTGCGGGTTGGGAGGAAGCGATTGGCCCCGGAGCCAGGCGTACCTGCGGCGGCCGGAGAGGCGGGAACGGGGAATCTCCGAGGGGATACCAGACGGCGGCGGTGGCGGCGGCGAGGATAGATAGAACGAAAGGCTCGGTCGGCAATGGCACGTCCAGCCCAATCGTAACGGCTGATGGCGCCATGGGCCTGTGGGCCTGCTGCCAACCCCACCCCGCCGGAGCCGCAAACCTGGCGGGCTGCATCTTTGCCATGGTATTGGGCCTCGGGCTGTGTTTATATAAAGAAAAAAATTGATAATAGTAGATTGTATTTTTTTTCTTCTAGGCTGACTGGGCTGCTGCAGTTTTTTCTAGCTAGTTTGTGTTTTTTCTGGGCTTTATTTGTTGTATTGTTGTTTTCAGTCTGGGCTGTATCTGATTCCTTCTAGGTTTTGGCATGTGGCTGTTGCATTTTGGATGGACCCTACCTGAGGAACATGGCCTTTACTGCAGTTGTTTTTTCAGTCAGCAGCTCTGAGCAGAATCTTTGATTTCAGAATTTGTGTTACCCTTCCTTTCTAGGTATTTCTCTCTTTGTAATGCAAGATTCTAGAAACATGAAAATAGAAAAAAAAGTAGGAATTGGATGCCCTAACATCTTGAATCATATGCATTAAGAAACACATTAAACTTTAAGATAAAATGTTTGGATGGAGCGCATGAAAAAAAAAGATAGAAATTCAGCAAAAGAGAGTGACCCAAAATATTTTTTTCAATAAATACAATCTCTTGGTAGAATTCCTCCAGAATTTCTATGAAATAAGCCATTCCATAGGTACTTCATAGAATCTGTACCAATGGAACCCTTAGTTACAAAGGACTTCATAGGAAATTTTCCAATAGAACTCAAATCCTCTAAAATTTCTCTAGGTTTTCGTTTGTTCGAATGAAGCCTCAATCCTGAGAGATCAAAACTGTGTAGAGCATTTATTGCACAAAGAGTCTACAAGGGGTGCCATGCTTTAGGCTTATTAGCCTATAAAAAAGCTCACAAACAAATGTGAGTAATGCAGACATGGAATGGTGAAATTTCTATGAATTTGGCATAAATTCATACCTCATTCGCTCCTAAGTTATAGTCTACTTTAAAATTTGTTCTAAATCATTTTGTAACTCCAAAAATTATACAAAGATGTATAAACATCAATAACATCAAATTAGTTTAACTACAAATATGTTCGTGAATTGCAATGACAAAAACCCCTAGCATGGCCAAACACACAAAAAACAACCTAAAACTTAACTTTTTATAGAATTGGTTATTGTTGGCAATATAATATTTATTTGTATATGTTTAAAACAATACTTAAAAATTTGTACAACCAAAACCCATAGCTTAAACTTGTTTGGCTCCAAAACAACTTAAATTAAAAGGAAAAAATAACTTTCATAACTGTAACATCTCTCTTGTTAGGCGCATGTTAAGTAGTGGATTTAAAACTTAACAAAACCTGACAATTGATTTTCAAGTGCTCTAGTGCAAATTCTTACATGTGATGCTTTTCATGTAGGGTTTGAAATCTTTTGAATAAGGTTATAAGCCAAATCATGATTTTTTATTGGAAAGTCCTTCGATCTCAACATCGCATGGTAAAGTTTTAGATTGCGTGTGGAATACGTTTCCCACTAGGATAAAACCACCCACTACTACAAATATTCACTTCTATGACGAATAGATTTCATCACTGAAGGAACCAAATTCGTCATAATTTCAGTTTTATGACGAAAACTAGTCCGTCATAGAAGTCGCTTCACTCTTGCATATCTATGACGAATCTAACAAAATTGTCATAGAAGTGCCTTGGTCTATGACGAAAAACAGATCATAATAGAACTGATTTGGCATGCATGGCAGGGGGCTGCCACGCTGGTGGGCGCTTTTCGTTGGAGATGCTTTTCACGTTTACATGTTATAGCCCACGTGTATATGTTATAGCCGGTTGCATTGGACATGATTCGGGTACGTGCCACCTTCTTATTGCACAACGTGGACATCTCTGGTTCTTGCACGTTTCAGGTTTTTATTGGACTACGTGTCATTTCCTTGTTGTTCCACATGTCAGATTTCTACTAGCACACGTGTCGTGTTGCCGTTGGATCACGTGTCACATCTTCATTGGACCACGTGTCCATTTCTTATTTGACCACGCGTCACTATGCTGTCCGTCCACATGTCGTATTTTTATACGTCCACGTGGCTTGACGATTTCCTTCTACGTGTCGAATTTTTAATAGCCCACGTGTCGTGCTCTGGCCAATTCACGTGTCGTGCACTGGTTCGTCCACATGTTGTATTTTTATTTGATCACGTGTTCTGTCCTGGTTCTACCGCGTGGAGTACAATCAATTCGTCATAGAAGTAATTCGAGATCGTCACTATTGCACAGACTGACTACATAACTATTTAGCCTGGTAATCAAATAACAACAATTTACATTTCACACGTCAGCAGCGAACCACTGACAGAGTATCACCACATTAAACCGGCATACGAGTCCACACATCAAACTGGCACATGAGTCCACATACCAAACCATAAATGTTCACTGCATCAAGCCGCAGGAGTTGAAGACTGAGAGTTACTAGAAGAGCTGAAGCGCGTGCACAGCTCACGGAGATTGTTGTACTCCTCCTATTGTAGTTTCTTGTATTTCTCAAGCTCTCTTTCAGTCCTTTCAGTCTTCCTCTTTAGTTCATCCACTTGATCGACGAGGGCAGCCCTGTTCAGCAGCAAGTTGTTTCCAAAGCATTCTCTCCACCGATATCTCTATTCTGGTGGAGCTTGTCTGGATACCAGCATTCTTTAAAAAAAGGTTGTTGCCGCTTCTCTAGGAGGGGGCCTTGCCCTTGTGGATGTAGAGGACCTTGCAAACAACATCAGCACTAGTAATTGGTTGCTGCCCATTAGCAACAGGTTCTGCTTGCATAGTTTCCATAGCTTCCTGTAAAATTCAATCAGTAAAACATCAGGTTACAGATAGTGTAAGAGAATTTCAATTAAAAATACAAGAGATTGATTCATAACAAGTAATGCATAGGTCTTCCTCAGCCTACTGCTGATAGAGATTACACAAGCTTTAGTAGATTTTAGTAGATTTCCATAACACTAGGCTCTTACTACGTTTCCTTCTTTTATGGTAATGGCTTCAGTAGATTTCAAAGAAAGCAAAATAAAGTACTTACAACTGCTGCTCTTGCAGCATCGCTCAGGCCATTTTTCCAACTGGTATGGAAGTCCCCGAAGACTTCTATAGCATTAACATCTTCATCATGTGGACCATTTTCTTCTTCAAGTCTTTGATGTTCTTCTGCCCCATTCTTCTTGTTCTCCTTCTGTTCACATTGCACATGAGTTTCGGTTTATATTTATACAAAGGCAAGAGGAACAATAAAACACAACCATCACTTACAAAATTTTGCATCTGGACAATATAGGAGCGAGATCCTGTAGCCTGGTGGTACTTCACTCTTGCATGGTTTCACTTGTTCTTCTCTGATGTTTCCTATACCTTCATTTGTGTTAGACTGCAGCACAAGTGGACCATAGCAAGACTAGACAGGAAATTGATGGGTTCACACACCTTGTTCTTAGCACTAGACCAAATCTTGACAAGTTCACACCACTATGCATTGTTCATGGATGAGACAGGAGAGGTCATACAAATCTAATTAGTAGGGACACCATTGAAGTATGTTCTCTTCAACCTGTAGCGTTCCTACCGTACCACAGACTGCATTACATTTTGGCAAGCTTTTTTTGTTGGCGAGTGAGCACCATTAACGCGTAACCTTCCCTGCACACAGTAGTGTGAATGAAAAGTAAATCCGTTAAAGTTGCTCAACGCAGAGTTGAATGTCAAGAGGGTATACCCATACATACATTTAGCCTTTCCACAAATCTTGTGCAATAGATGACGTCGGGCTTCTCCTCCTTGTATTCTTTCCAATGAATCAAATTTGGCACTTCCTTCCTGACTACTACACCTGCCTATAAGGCAAACTTGGCTGCTTGCACTGGATCATGTGGCCTTCTGTTCCCCTCGGCAACAGAGATGTGCATCCTCGCTCCTCCTAGTGATTTGCTCATTTTGTCAAGCATAATTCCTCGAGTTCGAGCCCTCAGCTTCCTCGCTCTTCCCGGCAATGGTACTACACAATTTTCATACATTCAGATTGTTAGAAAAGTTACATGGATATCAAATAGCTATTGCAAATTGATTGATAGACATCTGTAAGGTAATACCAACCTAGGCAACTTTCATCGTTCTACGGGTGGGGGAGACGAGAGTTTGCTGAGAGGGCTCCTCTTCAGTAGGGCTATCATCATCTGGCCGTGAGGAGTGTCTCTCGGGGCTAGGTAGGGTGCTGTCCTGACCAATGTCTCTAGTCGATTGATGAACTTCGAATTTATCCTTGTGTCCGGGTGTCGGTCATGATGGAGAATTATGTTCACCTAGTGTTTCTACCTCCACCCTTTTACCAGCGGAAGACCTCCGAGTACAAAATCCATGAGCAGCCTCTTCTGGTGGTGTTGACCTCACTCGCTTGGAGAGCCTTCGTCCAGGACTCATGGCAGCGCTGCCTTTTGTCCTACTGGCAGAGCCTCCTCTATGGCTTCTTTGACCTAGACACTAAAATTGGAGATACAAACTTAAGCAGCAAGCATGTACAAATTCCATTAATATCCAAACAGTAAAGCATTGCATGGCTACCTACCGCCCCTCCCGCCCCCTCCCCCTCCAAACTAAATATAAGATAGAACAAGCACCTCATCAATTGATAGGGGCACTGGCTCATCTTCTAAATCTAAATCTGTTTTATCTGTATCATCAAATCCCTCAACTACCTCCCCTGGTTCAGGGATATATTCCAAATCTTTACCATGTCTACCCTTTATGCTTGACTCTTTTGCCTTTGGAGACACATGTTTTGGTCCCATATGTTGTATTCCAAGTTCTTCTATCTTTCTATAATTTCTTGCGATTTGTGCGTCCCGTGCTTGTTCATAAGCAGTTAGTGGCTGTTCATCTAGATTACAAAGGCATTTATTAACTAAAGCTTCTATAGAATGCCAACATAGCAGAGTAAGAGTATGCAAATAAGTGCCTAACTAGTAACTACAGCTTATACGAAAGTCATTAATCCAATAAAGCACATGTCAGCTACACTCAACTATAGGAAATATGTAACTCCATCGCTATCTACATATCCTT